AGAAGCCATTGATCAAATACAAGAAACATCAAGCAACTAGAATCAAGAGAGAATCAAAGAGAAAGCATCAAACCTCAAGTTTGAGCATTTCAAGCCCATTTTCATTCAATATTCATTTTGCTTTCAAGAACACTTTTTGTGCTCAGTTGTATTCATCTTTGAGTGTTCTTTTCTTTGTTCTAGAATTGTGCAAACATCTTACCTTGTGAGGTTTTCTTGTAAGTTTGCAAATTTGTAATCTTCTCTTTGAGAAAAGAGTGTTCTCAAGAGTTGGGGTATACTCTTGAGGGAATTGTAAGGTTATCTCTTTGGCCTCAAAAGAAAGAACAAATTAGTGAATTTGTTGGAAAATCCTTAGTGTGGATAGCTAAGGTAGTGGACGTAGACTTTGTTTGAGAAAGTCGAACCACTGTAAATCGCTGTGCAATTACTTTCAATTTTCTGCAAAAGCTTCCACAAAATTTTTATTGCCAATTCACCCCCCTCTTGGCCAATTTCGTCATTCGATTAACTCAACATGTTGCCTCATCGATATCAGCCTTACTTACAGCTCTATTAGAACGCATAAATGGTATCATAGCAGATGTGCACAATGCATGATTATGTTTCTGATCAGACTTACTTATAACCCACTGATCGTTTGTATTTGTTGCTGTAACTACGACTCTAGCCTTACATCCTGTTCTTGTGACTGGCGTATGAGCACGTTGGCGATCAACAGTATTGACTTTTGATACTCGAAACCCTTCTTTGGAACAACAAAATTCTTGTGTCTTCACATCCCCTTCCACGTCAAGCCGTGTTGTTCCCTTACGTGCACTAAACCCATGTTCCCGTGCGAATCCCTTGTAAAAGTGCCAAGCTTGATCACGTGAACAGAAGAGCTGACCAACCAATCTGTCAGATTCATCAACATTATGTACTTCATGGCATTCCTCGGTTGGCTTAACATTGTCTACATCAGTATTATCCATGGCAAAAATTTTGTTGTGCAAGTTCAGTGCTCCAGGAGTTGATGGAGATGTAAGCAAAGGTTCATTTGAATATGTTTCAGTCGTGCTGCTTTCACTATGATGTGGCATTGGTAGTGGTAGTTAAAGGGTGGGTACAACATTAAATTCGCAGTACATATTTAGGTATGTACAATAACTACAAGTATATAATGTAATAGGTATCGTTTATATAATGTAATAGGTAGCGCTTATATAATATATTGTAAAGTATCGATCCTTTTTATAAAAGTGTCCATACTTTTTTCACTGTGGAAAACATTAATTTAAGGTTATCTTTTGAGTGAGTTTTAAGATATTAATTTAGTAATTATAGGCGTCTAATGATTTATTTTTTACGTTACGATATATATTATTATTAAATTAAAAATTCTAAATATTATTTTATAAAATATCAAAACAATCAAATAATTTTTTGTGCAAATAAAATTATTACATCAAATTACTTTATTCCAACCATGTGACAAGTGTGACAACTCCATCAACTCACAACTCAGCTTTGAACTCAATCAATATTGTCTTTTAGCTTGATGGTTCATAAAGCATGTTACTTGAACAGTATGAATCAATTATGCAATTTTCATGTTCAATTTAACAACGCATTTCAAATTCATTTCATATGTAATTGGAGTTTGAATTTAAATTTCAATTTGAGTTTGAATTTCAATATATATTTCGGCTCCACTATAAATATTAGCCCAAGCCAATATGCATGTTATCATTGATTATTCCTAATTTCCATTGTTTTTTTCTAACGTTTAAACGCGATGGAAATCCATACCATTGTATTTTTTGGTCAACTTTAAAGCGTCAGAAACGTTTCGGGCGTATGATCTGGGTGGTAAACAAATAGCAACTAAAATCTAAGTCCGAAATGCTTCTGAGTACCACCCAAATCATAAGTCTGAAATACTTCCGATGCTCATCAAAATCCAAAGCTCATATGGTGCCAAGCAAAAGGAAATCAAAATTCAAATCTCATATGATGCCAAGCAAAAGGAAATCAAAATCTACAACTTGATTTTGAACATTGATATGATATGTTCAGTTGTTATCATGTTGGGATTTTCTCGTTTTTGATTGCTTGGATAGTTGTTCTCTTGCTTCTTCAAGTGTCCTTAGCTTGTAATTTATAGCTTGGAATGTGTTTGATGTTGTATATATTATTATTAAATTAAAAACAATAAACATATATATTACATATTTATTATTATCTTTGGTTAATGTTGTTAAATTAAAAATTCTAAATAATATTTTATAAAATATCAAAAAATCAAATAATTTTTTGTGCAAATGAAATTATTAAATTAATATTGTAGGTGGAAAACATGAAACACTATTAAAAAAAATTGAAACATAAATTACATAACTTTAAAAGAAGTATCGATCCTTTTTATAAAAGGTATGGACACTTTCAATATAATAGGTAAAAATATGATGTAATATGTAGCGTTTATATAATGTAATATGTATCGTTTATATAATGTAATAGGTAGTGGTTATATTGTAAAGTGTCTATCCTTTTTATAAAAGTGTCCATACTTTTTTCACTGTGGAAAACATTAATTTAAGGTTATCTTTTGAGTGAGTTTTAAGATTTTAATTTAGTAATTATAGGCGTCTAATGATTTATTTTTTACGTTACGATATATATTTAATGTTGTTAAATTAAAAATTCTAAATATATTTTATAAAATATCAAAAATCAAATAATTTTTTGTGCAAATGAAATTATTAAATTAATATTGTAGGTGGAAAACATGAAACACTATTAAAAAAAATTGAAACATAAATTACATAACTTTAAAAGAAGTATCGATCATTTTTATAAAAAGTATGGACACTTTAATATAATAGGTAAAATATGATGTAATAGGTAGCGCTTATATAATGTAATAGGTATCGTTTATATAATGTAATAGGTAGTGGTTATATTGTAAAGTGTCTATCCTTTTTATAAAAGTGTCCATACTTTTTTTACTGTTGAAAACATTAATTTAAGGTTATCTTTTGAGTGAGTTTTAAGATTTTAATTTAGTAATTATAGGCGTCTAATGATTTATTTTTTACGTTACGATATATTATTATTAAATTAAAAATTCTAAATATATTTTATAAAATATCAAATAATCAAATAATTTTTTGTGCAAATGAAATTATTAAATTAATATTGTAGGTGGAAAACATGAAACACTATTCAAAAAATTGAAACATAAATTACATAACTTTAAAAGAAGTATCGATCCTTTTTATAAAAAGTATGGACACTTTCAACATATTATAATAAAATAGGTAAATTTGCAATATAACCGGTATAAATATACCGGTTTACTTATAAATTAGGTAAATATAAGCACTACCTATTACATTATATAAGCGCTACCTTGTATGTTATTGTACTTTATAATATTTCCGGTTAAATAATATAACATAACCGATATAAATTTTAACCGGTCACTTGTTTAACCGGTCACGCCGTATATTAACCGTTTTTTAGGCGCCGCACCGCAGAACTACCCTGACGATGGGCGTGAGATTCTTAGCCTCGACTAGGTGTTATTTAAGAGCAGCAAATATTAAGAAAAGAAATAGGGTAAACTATGTACTTAATATATAAACTATCAATTTTAATTTATTTCAGTACTTCAATTTTTAGTTTTTTTTAAATCATACCTAGCATTTAGTTTTTATTTTATTTTAGTACCCATCGTTAAAAACTTAATGCATTTAGTACCTAAACTACCAATTTTGATCCGTTTTAGTACCTAAACTTTCAGAAAAAATTCAAAACTAACGTTAAATTTTGAACGGATACTAAAATGAAACAAAAACTAAAGTTTAGATATGGCTATGAAAAAAATTGAAAGTTTAAGTACTTAAACAAAATAAAATTGATAGTTTAGGTATTAAACGTGTAATTTTCCCAAAGAAATAATGATAAATTTTGATAGGTATTACTTCAAGTGCTGATTGATATTTTTGAAAAATATTAATTATACATATTTGGTTTTAATTTATGGATATTATGAAGATTTATTACGAAAACAATCCTCTTAATTTAAAATTTTTATTCATAATATTGATATTTGTTTTTTTTTGGTAAACTACATAAATAGTCACCCGATTCTAGGGTAATGTTTTATTAAGTCCCTCAACTATTAAAAGTTATAAAATGGTCACTCAACTATTCATTATGTTTCAAACTGATCATTTTTTGTTAAAAAACCGACGGTATTCTGAACTGAACATTAACCTATTGACTATGACATGATACAATATGATATCATAATCATAAAAGACTATCATATCTCGTTCATTATATTAACGTCCAGCTTAGACAAACGTCAATTTTTGAACGGAAAATGTCGAGTTTGAAATATAATAAATAGTCGAGTGACTATTTTGTAACTTTTAATAGTCGAGGGACTTACAAATATAACATTCTATATTCAAATGACTATTTTATAACTTTTAATAGCCGATAGACCTAATAAAACAATACCTTATAGTCGGGACCATTTGTGTACTTCATAAGATAAAATATTAAACGTGAGCTGGGAAATGGACAGATAAAATATAAGCTGATAACATGGTTGCGTGTTAATAAAAATAGCATGGATGGATACCCGTGTGATTTAATATTGTTCTTATCAAGAACTTAAACTTTATTTTTCATCAATGTGGCATTTTGAAAAGCAGTGCCTACCTGTGAGGACATGTGATTTGGATTTTTTAAAATGGGAATACTCATTAAATAAAACATTTATTTACAATGTGAATGCAGAATCTATTCCAATGCCATAGATGATCTGACCAATGGGGTTTTTATAACTAAAAAGAACCAGCATGAATTAGATTCCTCATGATATCATGTATGGTGGTTTTGGCTTCATACATTGATTTGTGTTTTAATATGATTATTAGTGATGTATGAACTTATATCATATTTGTGTTTAATTATTAGTGATGTATGAGCATATATGGTTTTGACCTTATTATATAAATTTACCAGTCAAGAGCATGCACATTGTGTTTGATCTTGTTGAACCCCAAGATTAGCTGTTGCCTGCATATTTCTATCTGTTCATTTTGGTTCTGCAGTGTTGTTAAAAGAGTGCTTCAGGGATGCAGTTGTCTTTCTCAAACAAGGCACCTACCCTTCCTCAGTTCCTCTCTTTCAAAGCTGCTCAAGAAGATAGGCCGAGGAAGGCTGCTCATGACCCTCCGCCGTCAACTGGATTTACGGCTATACCAACTGCAGATTTGTATGGCTTAGCAAGGATGTTTCGAGTCTCCAGCCAGCAAAATAAAACTATTACAGTTCCTATTAGCACTCCTCTTGTCCAGCCCCATCTTGCTTCAATTGGGCAGAATATGATTGGTCATACTGTAAAGCCGCAACCTTTTTCGGGAGTTCCGATCATGGCTTCCCCTGCATCTGTTGTTCCTCCATCCAGTTCTGTTATTGGTACTACTGAACATAGGTATTTAAACTTGTAATATCATGTCATCTTTTGAATATCAATTATATGATAAAGATTATAGGCTAAATTGCTGGTTGGATTCCTTCTGTAGGACTGCTGCCAAATCTTCGGCGGCACCATCTCAATTGACTATCTTTTATGCCGGATCTGTGCGCGTTTACGATGACGTGCCTCCTGAGAAGGTAGTCATATTGCTTGAGCATGTTTTGTTCAAGTGCTTTACACCATTAACTTTGGGTGGTACTTGGTTCTTTACTTGCATATCCAGGCTCAAGCTATTATGTTATTGGCTGAAAACGGTTCTTCCGCTGCTCAGAGTAAAACCGCTCCCATGACTCGAGCGCAGACACATGTTTCACAACCATGTACCACCGATGTTTTTTTCGGAAATAGTTCCCGCAACGTGTCCCCTTTCTCGGGTCCTCCAAGCCATCTTTCTGTGACCTCTCATGTCAGTTTAAAGCCCGGTGGACGATCTAGCAGCACCAATGACCTAACAGCTGCCCCAAGAACAGGTGTGTTAGCATCTACTAGTAACCAACCTGAGCCTCCCAAATCAGTTAATTCAGTAGGAGCTGCTGCGACAACTCGAATTCCCACAGGTATTAAACTCTTTTTTTACAGGATTCTCTTCGGTAGCTATTGTATTCTGCTCTCATTTTGTGTCTCATTTTATTTATTTATTTATTGCAGTAGCAGTGCCACAAGCTCGAAAAGCTTCATTAGCTCGGTTTTTAGAGAAGCGTAAAGAAAGGTATTCGATGATACTGCGAAGATATATGCAGTTAAAGACTGACCTGTTAACATTTGTGTTGCATTGCAAACTCGGGTTTCCTGAGCTTTACATACTTCTGGTTTTACGGACAGGGTATCAAACGCTGCGCCATACTGTATCAGCCAGAGATCTACTGGTTCCAGTCCTCTTGGGTCTGAAACTTCTGCTGGATATAGTCCTCTTCAACCCATCAATTGAGGGTCTTCAAAGCTCATTGTTGAACTTATTTCTTCCCGTAATTATACGAACTCGATTCTTTTGATGTTCGATTTTGGCTTATGTTATATATATGTATACATATATACATATAGTTTGTTTTTGGTTATCTTGTTAGCAGATGTTTCCTTAAATTATTCAGAGGAATGATTAACTGTGATATAACATTTGGAACATCATGCAAGTCATTGTTGCACGTTATTCTAGTAATTGTATAATCCATCGAACCCAAAAAGCATAGTTCATGTTCATATGCATGAATGATATATTTGACATTCAACATCAAAATACGAACACAAGTGTTCATAAGAATTTCTTATTTCCCTCTTTTGTTTGGATATTAGATTTATGTTACCATAATACCCTTATTACTTTCAAACTTTGTTATTAAATCCAACATCAACACTTTTCATTTAAATCCCTGAACTTTCCATCTTTTCTGAAATTGGTCACTAAATTTACCAAAATTCTATTTTGGTCATTGACCCGACTTTTGGGATGTTACATATGGATAAACACTTGAGTTTCCACCAAATGATATCACTTCAACCTCAAATTTTCTTTCACAATAGGTAGCAAATGTAGTTACCTGTAGATAGAAAGAAATGTTCATTTCCTACCACCACTTGTAAAGGTGAGAACAGAAGCTAACAGCACTCAATTCCTTACCATTGTATTTAAAACAATTTTAGCCTTTGTTAGGTCAGTTGCTGTGCACTCAATGAAGACATTTTTTGTCTTCAAAGCTATTGCTGAGTGTGCACCATTAATAATTGGTGGTAAAGACAAAACAGTTCTGTATGAAGACAATAAAAACAGAGAGGTCATTCAGCTGTATTTCAGTTTTTTAAACCTAGCAAGACTTACAGTACAAATATACACATGAAAAGGAGTAAATACTGGCAGAAGGTTAAGCAACTTTAAGTCAAGGTGAAACTGGCTGCTAATCACAAAAGCTAAAACTAATAATCAGATGAAGATAACCAAGAGCACCCATACCCTGTTGCGGTCATAAATGACAGGGAACACACTTGAATTCTCGATAATGTGCAAGAACTTCTTCAACTTCAAATCTTACTGTTAAGTGTTAGTAAAACATATTTAGCATATCAGTTTCTGTGCTGGAATAATTCTAAATGGACATCCATTTCAAAAGACGCTCATTTCAGCAGCTGAGTGCAGATGCCACTGGACCTAACATAACTTCCCATGTAAGTCTCACTTATTACATTTCTAAACATAAAGAAGAAACTGATGCATATTGCTTTCAACGAAAATGTGCACAATTTGCTCCCTCTTCTTATTTTTCACCCCTCCATGTCATCCCAACAAAGGTCCAACCCAAATTGTAAATTTATAATAAGCCACATATTACCCCAAGCACTGAAACTAAACTATCGCCACTCGGACTTTGATGAATGCATGTAAATATCCCCCTTTTCCATCAGAGATTAAATATCAATCATATCTTTACAGCTCATGCTAATTTGTTTTGCAAGTTAAAATTAGATCAGAAATAGGCAGACGACAAACATATGTTTATGGAAAACGTACGCAGAAAGATTTACTAGTTTGATAACGTTACCTGCAAATATTTTGGTGCAGCTTATCCTGGAGATCAATGAAGCTGTTATAGCTAGCTTCATCAAAATTTATGCCCCTCAAAACCGCACAAACAACAAAGGGCCGGATTAGAGATGTCTGCAAACAAAAGGAAATGAATAAGGTATCAGTGACATCCTAAAGAATGTCAATACCCAAAACCAATTTTTCAACCTTCAAAATTACCTCTTTTTCCACATGCATTTTAAGCATCGATTCCTTAACTCATCTATGCAACTGTGCATCTGGGTATCTTCTCTTATCCATTGAAAATGCGAAGGGCTTGTGCAAGCCCTTTCAAACAAAGTCATACCTGTAAAGAAAACCTTCATCAATATTACTTCTTCTTTATTACTAAATAAAACTTGAATTAAAAACATGAGTAAAATTATGACGTGTTCCTCGTAATTCTCACCAATTTCCAGGTCAGCCCAACTAGATTAAATTAAAGTTGAAACTATTTTTGCAACGGAATCTAACAGTTATTAAACCGATGTTCTTAATAAAATTAATAGTAAACACACAAGCAACAGTCAAGAAGCTACTAAATTACTATAAGGTGTAAGCCAGCTTCAACCAATAATACATTGTACAATTCTATCGAATTAACAAATAGAATTTTATAAAGATAAACAGTGGAAACCCGTTAGCAGGTACAATCTTGTAAATAATTTCATCGTCAGAATTAGGTTTTTCCTCCTCCAAATGCTTCTCTTTCGAAATTATCGCTTTCTCCGTAGTCTGGTTCACAATAGCAAAAACTTCTTCAAAAAATTCATAGATATCAACGGTTTTCCAATGACAAAGCGTAAGAATACACTCACCACATCATCAAGTTCAATCCCGAAACTAAAACACAGATCTTCAAACTCTTCTTGAGCTGAGGAATTTTGTTTTTACTTCCGTCAGATGCTAAAATGAAAATCAGATGAAAAACAGGAAAATATGAGGTTATTGATTTAGAAACTCACTGTAAGATCTGCCGAGAGCAGCGAGGAGACGATCCCTTCCGACACTTGTGGCAGCTTCCCTCTATCTGGAAGAACTACAGATACCGTCAAAAACGTTCTAGGTCTATGGCAAAGCACGGGTACAGTTATATATAACATTTTTGGTTTAAATATGTTATCGAACCCTATACAATTTTGAAATGTAAAATTTAATCTTCATATTTTAATTTTATAACATTGAGTCCGATATTATATTCATTTGAAAACATATGTTATAATTTTAAAATTTTTATTTATTTTAAGACAATTCTTTAAAAATGACTTAATTTGACTAGTAAAAAAAAAAATTCAACTCATCTCCATAATATGTTAACAAAACAACATATAAAATGAACATTTACTAGTAAACTTCCTATACAACTAGTAGTATTATCAAGCCAGAGATAAAGAATCTGGGGAGCTATTATGATCCGAATGACATACAGCAATACGATGATGATGAGCTATTTCGGAGGTTCGTCGTTGACGGGTCGGTGCCATACACTACGGCGTCGAACGTAAGTTTGACAAACTAAAATCAAAGCAGTTCGTCTGGTATTTGCGCAAGTTGATCTGTTCATGCGGGAAAACCAACTTCCTCGCCGAGTCCTCCAGATTTTGATCGACTCATCCAAGGAACCCCAAAAATGGAAAGACTAGATCACAAAATTCATAGCAGACAACGTCATGACTAATATACAAAGTGGACAGCTGAGCCACGGTGCTGAAGATGGCAGGACGATTGCGCTCATCTACTCGAACGCTTGGGTAGAAAACACCTGACGGTGTCGAGAGAGGCGAGTAGCAGCAATAGTAGCACCATCGGTTCGATGCTTCTGTCGTATGGAGACAGTCTGAAACATCGGAAGACATTTCGTAGCATCAAGGAGCTGAAAGAAATAGGGATAAGAGTAAAGCCAAGCAACACAAACAACTTGAACATTTCCTTCTATTGCAACTTCTTGGGGAGCCTCAAGATGCCGCGCCTCTTGGTGGATGACTTGACGGCTTCCAAGTTCATGAACTTGGTAGCTTTAGAGATGTGCCCCGACTTCGAAAATGATTTTGCCATCACGTAGTACCTATGCTACTTCGGTTCTCTCATTAATACGGCAGAAGATGTTAAGGAGCTGCGAGTCGCAGGCGTGGTTCACAACTACGTGGAGAGCATGATCAATAACTGGCCGAGCTTTTCAAGAAGATGAGCAGGAACTTGGTGTCCGACCAGGATATGTACAAAGATGTTACGGACCAAATCCTCCAGTACTGCAACAATCCGTTGACCCCCTCCTTGGCTCGGCTATATTACACCCATTTTAGTCAACCTTGACTATCGTCGGCTTATTGGGTAGGATAGCATATCTTATCTTCTCCGGTATTTCGGCTTTCGTCTATTTACGGAAAGTATTAAATTCAGACAAGGATTAATCTTCAGTTTTTTTCGATCAGTGTTTCGAATATAACTAATTTATCCGATTGTCTCTGATGTCAATTGAACTCAATATGGATTCGGGATCTTCATATTTGTATAAAACTCAAAGAATGAATACAGTTTGTACATACAGAAAAGAAAAGAAAATTAAAGTAAAGGAAAAGATGTTTGTACATATGAGATTTTCAATCTCGTCTTTCTTGGAATTCATCCTAAAATGAAAGCAGCTTTTAATCTGCAGCAATGCCGTTGATCATGCTAGGTTGAATTGTATATCTCACAAATTCAATGAAACAAACCCCAACCCATGCATGCTTACTAAAACAGAATGTTGGTCACTTGCAAGTTGTTCGATCGACTTCCTCCTGTGTCCGAGGCTGCATTTGCTGGCGGGAAACCAACTCTTCTAAAGCTTCCCTCATCCACAAATGGGGGCATTCTTCTCTAGCTTTAGTTATTGTTATCTAACTACACAATTAGTTTCAAATTTAAACCAACAATTGCATGGATTTAGACCAATCACAACGTAGCATTTCTTACATACCCATTTCCTTGTCCGGGTATTTTTCTCAGGCCAAAGGTCCAATTCTTGCTTGACAAACATAGGAAACATGTGGCCTTCATGGACAGTATTTTGCCTCTTGCTCTCGTACGACCATTTCCCTAGTTTGCACTATCAAAATGGTGGTGGTTAAAAACATAAAATCGAGGAGTAACAAGAAATATTGTAAATGAACAATTGATATAGATACACTCACTTCAATATTGCCGACAACACCGGCTTCTTCGAGCGTCTCTCGAACGGCTGCCTCTTCCATAGATTCATCATCATGTTCCCAGCCACCTTTAGGGAACAACACACCTTTCCCATTATGTGCGTTGATCACAAGTACTTCGATCATCTCATCATTCGAATCTATTTCCTCCGTTTTCTTATATCGATACGGGATACATCTATTCAAACGAAATCGAAAAAACTCTTAATCCGTCAATATAATCAACTAAAAAAAGGGGAAAGAAATTACCCCACGACTAAACGAGAGCCTCTTTCATCGTAGCGTTGCGAGTGCCTGCCACTGCGAGTAGGGCGATAAGAAACAAGGGGAACCATACCCTCCACGGGGACCGGCAGTTTCATAGGTATCTTCTCAATGAGAGACGCCAACATGCTGGCCAAGGGGGAAGATTTGTAAGAAATCCAGACACCCCTCCAATGTTGTCATGAAAATTTAGGAAGACACGCAGAAAGAGAAACACGGTGCTTTTGGGTTTTATATTTCCTTCTGTTCATACATCACCATTCGAACCAAATTTAGAGTTCCCATCGTTTAGCAGTCCTCAATTTTTAGAGGAGATTTTATCATTAATATTATGTGGATAAGATGTAAGAGCCAAACCCGGTCTCTCCCATCTTTTATTTTCTTCTTCTTTTTTTTCTCTACTTCTTTATTAATAGAAAATTATAGATAAAAAATAAATAGGAAATAAGCCGATACGTTTTCACTATAATAATTAATTATAGTCATAAATATATTATATACTTGTATATAATTATATAAATTATAATTATTTTTTTATAAATAATTCGAGATATTAATTATCAGTAAAAATAATCATAAAATGATTTTTGTTTCCATCCATCGCGTAATTAATTTGGGAGTAATAAGGCGGCATGCAACAAAATGGCTCAAGAGAAAACCTAAAATGGCCAAAAGATTTGTGCTCATTGCATGCGTAGGGGGGGACGTGCTGTTTAAAGAGCGTGTACGAGCAACACGTGTATATCATTTTTTCTGAACCATATTCTATATTATGTTAAAATGGTGTAAAAGACAGATCTGTATATGAAAGATTATTCAACGCCTACATAAATTATTATACGTGGAGTTATGTAAAATTCAAATGTCTTATGTTTGAGACTTTATATATATATATATATATATATATATATATATACACGCACACACACACGAGGGAAGAAATTTTATTAGTGTATCATTCATTTTTTTATTTTCGTTTATTAACGATGATATAAATTTTAGTATTAATTGTTGATTGTCGATATTTTTTTTATTTACTTTTATTTTATATTGTATCTTTTCTATTTTTGTTTTTTGTTTTTTAATAAATATGTTTATATGATACATTTTTATTCGTCTTTTATAATGTATTTTTTATGTCTTTTGGTATGTTTTTCGAATGTTTGACTGTTTTTTCGTTTATTTTTTTAAGGATTGATTTGACATCACCACTATTGATTATGATGACGTTTATTTGATATCTTGTTGATATTCCTTGCTTTGGACTCTCTGATTGGATGTGAATATCTTATTTGCGTTCGTTGATAGTTTTTCACGTCGTTCGAGTTTGATTTACGATTTGTCGGTAGTTTGTCAATGTCATGTTTATCTTTTGTGGTTCGTTTGCCGATGTGATTAGATCTATATATATATATCTTTGTTCGATTTTCTTGGTTAGACTATTAATCTTTCTCTGTACAGTCTCTATGTGATCTTAAGTTGCTAGTTTTATTTTACTCATTATACACAATTTTTCTAATTGAGTGCTTAATTTATGATTGTTGATTGTGGTTGTAAATTTTTAAATTTTTCTAATTAAATTTAGAAAATTTAATATATACACACAGGAGGGAAGATAAAAAGGAGAAATTATTCAATATTAAACTATTTGGAGTAATTATAAAGTAGTAATTCAAAAGCTCTACTAAGAATAACATTACTTTTCACTGTTGAGATCTTTTGATTAGTTCTATCCGATATTTTAACTTAAGATTTAATGTTAATTAATAGGCAAAAGGGTAATTTTTGCTCTTTTAGTAAACTCAATTTATCACTTTCGACCCTATCATATTTTCTCATTAATTTAGTCCTTAACATTATTTGATTGCATCATTCTATATCGTATCTTTAACATAAAATCCTAAATCATAACCCATGACCTCTAAACCATAAGCTCAAAAACTTAAATCATAAGCTGGGTTTATAATTTATAATTTTAAGTTAGAGGAAGAGTGTAAAATGATATAATTAAATAATTTTAATAATTAAATTGATACAAAAAAAAATATGATACGAGCGTAAATAATAAATTAAATCAATTGCTGAGGTAAAAAAAACCCGACCTAATTAATATTAACATAAAACCAATGAAAAAAGACGAGAGTTAGGATGCAACGTGGTTTACAACATGCTGACGGAGACCATTGGAGTGCCACGTGACAAGGGGCGGCAGACTTGGGAGTCTAACCGTCTAAAACCTACAATGTAAAGCGGAAACGCTGGCTCCATTAGTCCATTAGAATACAATTCTTTTGTTCCTATTTTCATTTGGTACGCAGCTGCCCCTTCGAAGTTTTGACGGTTGAATTCAACGTCAACAGAATTCGACACTATTAATATTACTTTTAAGACTGTCCATTTATATTAATCTTAAATTGGACTATACCACTAGTTTTCTTTTTCAAAAAAGAAGAATAAAAAAAACATCATAGTGGAATTCTAAGTTTGGCAAACATCTCCTACTCCGTATAGCGATTATCAATTGCGAAAATACCATTCAATCCAACGCATCCAATTAAATTCATGTTCGTATCCCCTTTTCCACGTCGTTTTTGGTAAAATAATTATTTAGATTTTGAATTTACATTTTAATCCCTTATTTAAAAAAAAAAAGAATTAAGTATCAATTTTGCCTCTGTAGTAGACCTAATTTATCATTTTTATCTCTATCGTATTTTTGTATCAATTTCGTCCTCGAAATTGTTCAATTGCATCATTCTATAACTTACACCTAACTTGAAACCGTAATTTATAAATCCTAAGATAAGGTTTAGGGTTTAAAGGCTGTGGAGTTATAGTTTGGTAGGATTTTTAAAAAATGACTTTAAAAATACGGTAAAAAAGAAATTTTAAAAGTATTGTTTAAAAGTACAGTTTAAAATTTAAATGTTTTGGAATTTTTGTTAAAATGTGAGCTTGAAAAGATAAGATGTTCATTATAGACGTTATGTTGAAAATTAAAAATATATAATTTAAATTATTAAAGGTAAAATTATAATTTTCTTTTAAACGCAAAGCTGAAAATGAAAAAAAATTATAAATTTTAGCTTTCACAATAGGTTTGAAACAACCGTTTTTATCGTATTTTTTAAATATTTGACATTAATTTTGCAGTCGAAATGAACTTTTTAATTAAAAGTTATTTTAGAAAGCTACGTCAAACGAGGCTTAAATTAGATGAGAAAATATTTGTTATATATATTTTTGATTAATTTAGGGTAAATATAAAATTATATGAGAGTCTTTCGATATTGATCACTCACACCCATATATTTATATATGGTGCTGGAAAATGAGTCTATTAAAAAAAATAAACTGATTTGCTCATTTTTCAAACAGAACCAAAAATGCAATCCGGGGATTTAACCAACTTTTTTTTTATTCTGTTGAAAGAAGAAAACATTTGTTGAAGATGGTCAAATGGTATTTGAATTGATCCGCGTAAAAAGATGTTTATTTCCCACCAAACTTCTTCCGTCTTTGCCTGCCCTGCCTTCGTACGTCTCCTCCCCATCTTTATCCCTTCCCTTCTCGTTCTCTCTTTCTGTATGTATGTATATATATATATACGTCTCTTAGTATTTTTAGCCATCAACACAACATAGAGACTAGGAAAAACAGAGATTTGGGTGTGGAATTTTGTGTCAAGTACCGTTGTCAAGGTTGAAGCAGCAGAGATGGAGTCGAGGAACAACAACGGCAGCAGCAGCAGTTGTTTCAGAGGAAAAGAAGACATGGGTAGTGTTGCAATTCACAGCCAAGTTCGGAAAATAAAGCTGGAATCGGAGCAAATCATCGACGGTTCGCCTGGACAGCCTGAGATGAGACATGCTCTTAGAGAGATTTCTCGACACCAGAGTTCTCGTCCATCTCCTTTAGGGTTGAGCGGCGGCAGCCCGATTTCTGTCGGTCACTAGAGGTCATGGGGCTGCTTCTGGGATCGGTTTTTGAACAAAAAGCTTTAATAAACTGTATTTAAACAATATGGGCTATGGACTTAATCCCCTGTTTTCACATGATCTCTGTATATACGAGTACGTTGAATTCTAATAAACTTATTTAAAATCTCTCTGAAATCCGATCAGATTCCCTGAGTTTTGAGTGATGCAACTCTTTTTCTCTTATTTTTCACCGGTTATTTGCTATATACAAGCAATAGCACATTGCGACTGCAGTCGCCTGCTATGATGTACATATATTGGACAAAAGTATGGGTACTCGGTCCTTTACAATTATATCGTATACACCATACCAACCTCCACCAGAGCTGCATGAGGGATGTTCAATGCCACATGGGGCTCTCTACCATTTTTATCAAGGAAAACGTAGACCATGATGAGGAATCGCTTGAGGAAGTTGGAGCCATTGCGTACCACCAGATGCGATTGACCCAAGAAATATGCAGTCCCGCTCTCCCTGGCCTCGATTAGTTCGTTTAGTTCCTCCCTTACCGACACACGCATTCGCGGGGTATTAACCGGCAGCATGAACCGTACCTTTTTCTTCTTTCCTTTGGCGTCTCCAGTCGAGCTTCCGTTCGTTTGTGTTGCTGCATTGGCTGAGCTCGTGCCATGGTTATCATGTAAAGGGATCAAACCATCTCCTTCTGCTTGTTTTCCAACAACAATCATTTTTCCTTCGGGTGCCACCAAGGACTCGGCATCGCATTCTTCCATGGAGATAAAATCTCCGATGGAACGAATGATCTGTTCCTCGAAGTCCCCTGTGTCCCTGATATGATCGCGGTATCCGTATCTTACTATGCATCGGTAGATTCTATTAGCTCGAGGCCCAACTCTGCCTATAAGATAACGTCTACTCGGGGGAACGAAAGACTCTGTCAGTGACTTGAATGACACGAAAATCAGCACTTGATGAAAGGCGGGTACGTTTGTGATAAAATGGGAGAAGAAAGCCGGGATTCCGGTTACTATGTCGGTGTAAACGAGGCCTATTCCGGGTACCCTGGAAACTCCGAGGCCCGAGTTGAGTTCCATAAGCCATTCCGTAGATACCTTATTTTCCAAGTCAAATTGATATTTCTTCAAAGTTCCATAATGCCATGAAACCATGATAGTCAAGGATAGCACCAAAAGAACAGCCAGATACCAGGTTCCCTTGTGAAAATTTAGTATGTTACATGATAAATACAAAGCCTCGATGGACCCGAAAAACAGTAAGAAGCAAGCAGACACTAGCAAGCTCTTTTCCCAGTACAGGGCAATCACAAGTGACATTAGAAAAGTTGTTACCAGCATGCTAGAGACCACAGCCGTGCCTGTACACAAAATTTACTATTGGTTTCATACGACAAATTTGACGGAAAATACGGGTTATGAACGCTTACTGTACTCTTATATGTGCAACAAGCTTACCTAGTGCATTTCCGATTCTCGGGGCATCATGGAAGCCTATTGTAACACTGAGGCTAAGAACCATTACTATCCAGTTAAGATCTGGTATATAAACCTGGCCATGTATCGTATCTGATGTATGAATCACTTTCACTCTGGGGAAGCAACCAAGTGCTAGGCACTGGTTTACAATGGAAAAACACGCTGTTATTGTCGCTTGGCTTCCGATCACCGAAGCAAATAGAGCCAAAACCGTGTAGACATGCTGAAAATGATCTGCAATTGCCAATCAATCTTCAGTTAGTAATAAAAATGCCAATCTAAAGCATAAAGTAGGAATCAGCTGAACAACTTACCAGGTACGGATCGAAAAAGGTGATTATATTCGTCGGGAAGACCAGGGGAGTTCTTTGCGGAGAGTGTATGGGAGAGGAATGCAGCTTGACCCGCGTAACATACAATTAAAACAGGGTAAATCACACAGAAAAATGTCATCTGCAGTAGAGAACCGAGCAAAGTTCTGTCAATCTATAATCGAATTATCAGTGCAATTTGCTGAGGCATGAACTAGATCGAGTACCTTGATCGATTTCACTGAGAAATGACCTAGATCCGCATACATAGCCTCCGATCCTGCAAAAAGAAAACAGGTTGCATATGTAGTTTGAAAACTAATAATACAAGATGCTATCTTGCTATGCTCAATGGTAAACCAGATTATGAGCCTATGCTGACCTGCCACACACAGAGTGAGACTGCCCAATGACCTCCAGCTACGGAGGCTAATACTTTTCAGATACCTGTATATGTATTTTGGGGAGATTGCATACATGATATGGGTATCATAATGTAAAATATTGTATACACCCATTCCGCTAATAACCAAGAGCCATACAATGACTATCGGAGCAAATATGAGCCCGACTCTACGGCTTCCGTAGCGTTGCACCGTGAAAAGGCAGACCAATATGGCACATGCAACAGGCACAGGTACATCTGAAATAAATAAGAGGACAACAGAGACGTCAAAAATCCTTCAAACATTATTTTTTGAAATATCGAATACGAAGATATCGAGTTTCATAAAACTTACATCTCTTAATATTTCTGGTGAATGAATCCTCTCTTTCATTGGAAGGGGAATCTGTAAAATCAACATAGGAAGGTTATTAGCTAAAGGTTGATGGATGGTTCAAAGATAAGGTTGCAATTCTTACTGCCGGTCCTTACATTTTTCATCTGTTATTGATCGTTCAATACTGGATGAAGCCGCTAAAACTGGCCGAGGAAAAAAAAAAGGGAAACATAAATACAACGTACCATTCGATGAGAAAAACTATCACAAAAGAAGAGAATTTGAATAGGTTTATCAAACCAGAAATAGCCGGTGTAAGAACTGCGTCGGCTATTATCATGCAAGAGCCGAGCAGCGCCAAGAACAGCATCAAGTAATGACTGCTCTTATGTTTCACGATAGCCCTTCGAGCTCTCAATTCGACCTTGTTTACGGAAGGACTTTCATAATCATATTGCATAACGTTGTTATCGCTATTATTATTAGGGAGCAGACCAACTTTTCCATGCCTACACAATAGTGAGTACAAAGCAAAAGTACCACCTGCAAGATATCAACCAAGTTAAAATTCATTCCGCAATCTCAAGACACAATCGTTTTAGTTTAAAAGGTCACGGAAGATCATTACATACCCTCTCCATCGTCATCGGCTCTCAGCACTATAATGGCATACTTCACTAAGGGAATGATCGTCAAAGTCCAAAAGATAAACGAGAAGTACTCGTATGCACTCTCATCGGATTTGAATTCCTGTGTAGGGATTGAAGTAAAGACATATAAAGGAGCAGTACTCAGGCGACCATAAACTACTCCAAGGCTTTGGAATGACAAAAGGATTGTATGCTTCCAGGTCTCCTTCTGAAACAACATCAGGAAAATCAAAATAACACATAATCAAATGCTTAATACTAAGGCACTACACATGCTGAAATTAATTCATTATATCATCTATCTGTGATTCCATGAAGTTAAACAACCGTGAGACCGTCTCCGGCAACGATCATATAAGATACTAAACTTTGATCAACTACAAGATCCCATCACTAATATACAATGATCAAATTTTGAATCAAATTAAGATTACTAAAATGGGTCCTTAATTAACACTAGGAAACTGCATCCGGGTCTGATAAAACCAAGCAAGAACTTGAGCAAACATGCAGAAAGGAGAGAGAAACCAAGTATTCTGCACTTCAACAAACAACTAACCTTGAAGGGAATAGAGTCAGTTCCGGGGCTCAAAGGAGGATCCATTAAGAGAAACAGAGACCAAGTGACAGATAACAGGAAAAGCTTTTCATAGGGAAAAATGTAAGAAAAAAAGACAAAAAAGGGAATGAAGTAGCGGTTGAGTCTATGCCAGTTTGATTAACACAAAGAAAGTTAGAGTCTTGAAGAATGGTCAGCCGATTCCAAGACAGTTTGTTGTTTTTCTATGGCAATTTGAAAGCTGGAGTGACACTAACGCCTGCAATTCTATATTTCAAATATTATATATATGTATGTATGTATATATTCCAAGGCCTCATGGGATCACGTTCTCATAAGACAGCTTCACATGATATTTGAGATCATCATATTGTCGGAACCGACTTTTGGTTGGGCCCCGAAATTAGGCTTCGACTTCAAAAAATGGGTTAGAGTCGCAACCGATCACTTTAAAACGAATTGAGGTGAGTCAGACACCATCTTATCTGATCTGTGTTGTACCAGAAACGTGTCGGGTTCGAGAGTCGGTTACAGTCAAGGAAGGATTAGCACCCTTGTAATGCCCTTTTGGTACAAATTAATTTATCGGTTATATTTAATTGCGAAAATTAAAAATCCGATTCGAGTTACTTACCTTTAACCGATTAAAATTCCTCTGAAAAAGATCAAAAATGTTAAAGAAAAAAAAAATAACAATAATAAACAAATCAACAAAATAAAAAAATAAAAAAAATACGAAAGAAAAGAGGAAAAAATAAATAAAAAAATAAATAAGTTTAAAAAATAAAAAAAAGGAATAAGTAAAAAAAATGATAAATAAAAATTGGATTTAAAAAATAAATTAAAGGAAAAAATGATAATTAAAAAGAAAATAGTAAAGGAATCAAAAAAAAGAATTAAAGTTTGAAATCAATAATAATGAAAAATAATAATAATAATAATAATAATAATAATGATAAAATAAAATAAAACTTAGAGGATCAAATTGAAACAAATTGGAATTAATGGGTTAAATTGATATTAGAAAATGATCTGCAAAATAAAAATCAAAAGTGAGGGGCCAATTCACAAAAATGAAGAAATATGAATCAGGATCAAATTGATAAGATTGAAAATTCTAAGGCCAAATTACAACTGGTGACTGAATTGTAAAGCGACTCAAAGTTATAGGGACCATAGGGAGGATTTAAAAAATCCTCTATTTGCACTCCGGTCCTCCGTATATAAATGCCCAAACAAGCCCCTTACACTTCATTTATCTCATTTTCTCAGAAATATCATCTCTCAAACGAGAGAAGCGCTCTAAACCAAGCCAAAATATGGCCACCCCTCTGGTGGTCAACCGCCGCCGCCCAAAAATGCTCTCCTTAACCCCGTAATCCCAGATTCGAGCCTCAAACCTCACAAGAAACCCCCAAACAACGTAGATATACGCCCGAAGTTCCGATTTCTTACCTTCGTCGATGGTGATTCTTAGGCTCTCTGGTTTTTCGACGTGGTCCCTTGCTCTCCTAGTGGCTTTTGCGAAACAAAGTTCTGAACTTTGTTTACTTTCAGTTTTCGAAAGTGTTTGCCTTTGGATTTGCTTTAGTTGTTCTTTGGTTCGGTCTTGTTGTTGATGATGATGTTGTTGGTTTCTTTTGTGGTTCAATGATTCTATTTTCGTTGTGTGTTTTGGTTCTTCGTTCTGTTGGCAGTATTCGATCGTTGATATTTTTGTGGGCTCTCGTGTTGCGTTGGTATCGTTCTCTGATGTTTTTGGGTACTGTTGTTTCTCGATAATGATGGGTTTCCTGTGATGGTTGTTGGTATTTTGTGGCTCTCGGTTTTCTCGATGATGTTGTATTGATGTCCCCCTGTTAACAGCTTCGATGGGTATTTATACCTCATCGTCGGATGCTATCTTCAGATTTTACGTGGGTGGTTGTCACGATTGTGTGGTCGTGAGTTAACCGAAAACCCCGGAATGGTTCAGTCCCAGAGATTTCGGCCGAAAGTTCTGCTAGTCGTTTGCTTGATTTGTGCGTTTTTCTCCCATACGGCGCTGACTGAGGCAAATGGAAACCCTAGTTTCCTTGTTGGGCTGGTTCAGGCCCCATGACCCTTTGGACTGCTGTTTGGACCTGAAACGAGACATTGAACCTGGAAAAAAAATGAAATAAATTAAAATAAATTAAATGAATAAAATAAAATAAAAATAATAAATATAATATACTAAATATAATATATATATTTCAAAAATATTTTATTTAAAATCATATATTATACTTTTAAAAAAGTTTTCAAAAAAAGTTTTCAAAAATGATTTTAAAAAAGTATTATATGAGTTTTCAAAAAATGTTTTTTTATATTATATAGTTTTTTCAAAAATGTTTTTTTTAAACTATATATTATATAATATTTCAAAAAAATGTTTTTTTAAAACTATATATTATATAGTTTTTTCAAAAAGGTTTTTTTTCAAAACTATATATTATATAAGTTTTCAAAATAATTTTAAAAACTATATATTATATAATTTTCAAAAATGTTTTAAAAACTATATAATATAAATGTTTTCAAAACTATATATCATATATATTTTAAAAATGTTTTCAAAATTATATATATATATTTTCGAAAACTGTTTTAAGAAAATTATATATTATACTTTGTCAAAAAAAAATATTACGATATATATATATAATAAAATATAAAAGAAAAAGAAAACAAAACAAAACAAAACAACTCCGGACGAAAATGAGTTTCTATATATATATATATAATATTTATATATATAATATATTTATATATGATATTGCATCATATTTTCCAAAAAGTCGAACCTGTACATTATCTTTAATAGCTCGAAGTTTGTCCATAGCATCATGTTGTTGTCCGCCAGGTCTTTGCTCGAAGTATCTATAAATCAATCGAATCCTGGTAACATCCCATAGATCACACGTTGGTTATCAGTAATATTCGTGTAATTCATTAAGCTCCGTTGATACATACATTTTGGTTTATGCAAATAATTATTCATTTCTGTACTTTTTCCCACAAATGTCCATAATCGGATCACCTGCTTTTGGCTTTGCCTGTTCATTGTTTTCGCTAAATCAAGATTAAAAGGAACAAATGAAGAGCAAGTTTCTAAATTGAATGATAAGTTGTCTTGATAGAAACAATAAATATAGTTAAGCTACATACCTTACACGGAAAGTTGTTTACACCATGAAAGATAAAAGAAACAAAGAAAACAACTTTTAAAAGGAAAGTATTTTATAAAATTCCTTCAAGGCAAAAAAGTAAGAGAAAGATGGTTAAAGATCATTTCTTTGGTTGAGCATAAAAGGGGATGGTAAATTGTGATTGGTTTTAAATATGTTTAGTAGTGGGGTTTTTTAATCACGTGCAAAACTCATTCCTTAAAGAAAGGCCAACATCTGCAAGTGGTCGAATGAAAGAATAAAGGCCCAACCTCAGTCCAAACCCTAAACCCGAGCACTAAGTCTCCGATTCTATATAACATGTCTATTTCAGTGTCATATATTTAGTAGATGATAATTAAAAAAAAAAAACTCTATTGGTACATTGAAGATAACCATAATCTTTTTATAAGCTGACAACTTTCTGATTAACAACACATGGTTGGGAAGTGGAGGGGACAAAAGGAGAGGGATGAAGTGCTGTCCCCTTAATTTCTTAATGAAGAAAAAGAATCTGAAGTTGTAATTTCCAGTTATATGCATATTTGGGTAGGATCTGAATCCGGTGCATGTGAACAGGATTCCAGATATATATGGAACACATTCAAGTAGTAAAGAGGCCCATTTATGTATATAGAGAGGAGCTGTAGCCTGTAGCCCCTCATAAACAGTGCTCGTTCTCTCTATTTGTCCCCATCAAAAGCATTCCAGTTTACTAATCAATTATATATATATATATATATATATTGCAGTAGGTATCGAATTGTCAATGTTAAAAAGTGATGGGAAAGGCAATGAACAGTTAGGGAACAAGGTCTTTTCCGAGAGTGGGAACAAGGCCAGGGTGATGGAAGAGTACCTCGATAAACAGTGATGAATTTGGAGTTTTCTGCCATTACATAAAGTGGGAGGAGAATGAGCAGTGCAAAGGTCAAATAAAGACGGGAAAGCTCTACAAAAGAAGACTAGTACGAGCTTTAGCTGCCCCATTACTCGAGAAACCCGCCATTTGAAGTGTTCCTTTCGTTGCTATAAAAAGACAATGAGAGTTAGTGCAGGTTGCAAAGAAAGGGAGAGAGAAACCACTTTCAATGACTGTATTTCTTCTGTTTATCTGACTGATGATGATACCACTTTCAGGATATACATGCATGGGTCATTCCGAAAATGGGGACTTTCTCTGTATCTTGCAATGAAATATGTTACCAGATAGTACCAACAGTGCTATCTGGGATTCTCCTTCATCCCTTTAATTAAACATTTTTGCTTTACAAATATGGCAAAACTGAGTTGTTTGTGGGTAGGAACCGGAGATGGAGGCCAACAAGAGTGAATATCATCACCAGGAGGAAGAAGCTGGAGATAGTGACGATATTGAGCTTCTCAAGACCAGAATTTCTAGTCATCCTTTGTATGGGAGGCTCGTTGAGAATCACCTCAACTGCTTAAAGGTTCTCTCCACCCCCAACCACCACAAACCATTGGGTTTAGGGTTAACTAGCATTGAACGTTCACCGCATCCTATGATTTTGTTGAAGTACTAATTGTTCAAACTTTTTACAACCTGCGATCTAGTTTATGTAATTAGGGTTAATGTTCTATAGTATTATCTGCCTAGTAGTTTTACTTAGCTAAGAGCCAAATTTATATTTGGTGTACGCAACCATTTCACCAGCATAACTTATTATATCTGCTAGAACCATTACATTCAGTCTCGAGCTCATAGGCATTTGCTTATATAGGTTAGTGCTTTACTATACATTTGTTTAATGCTTTTTCCCCCTCACTCTGGTCAGGTTGGTGGCATTTGCAATGGAGGCAGAAACAGCAAGGGAACTCAAAGGCAAGCTGAGCATTATGATAGTAGTAATAATATAAACAAGGATACATGTTCTAGCAGCATGCAGCTAAACCAATCAGAGTTAGACCTCTTCATGGTACACTCCTTTATTTTATTCCTCTCGTAAACATAATAGACAAATAGTCGGCTGATCTTAGTTCAATTGGTATCGTTATTGTTATAGCAACTTGAAGATGATATGTTAGAGTGTACTTAAATGCTTGGCGTGCTTGCAGGAAGGATACTGCTCGACACTGAGCAAGCTAAAGGAAGCCATGGAGGAACCTCAGCTGGAATCAATAGTTTTCATCAGCGGCATGCATTCTCTACTGAGGGACCTGGCCAGACCTAATACCCTTTCATCTGATGTACTTCTGGTAATTATTCTCATGCACTACATGCCTTTAATAATAATTATATGTCGGTGGCAACAAATAGGCCTTAAATTGATTCAAATCGTGGTCGCGTTTATCGCAATTACGGTCATAGAGGGCGTTATTGCGAGTATAGTGGGTATATCGGAAGGTAGCGCTACCGTTATTTTGCGGGTTCTATTGCGATCGCGGACAGCTATTTAAAACCCTGGTTGACGCCAGACAGAATAGTGATTATCCTGCAAGCGCTCCAACAGATTATTCACAAGAAAAAATTCGTCCAAAAAAATCCAGAGAAAAAAGTCTCTAGGGTTTAATAAAATATTATCAAATCAAAAATCATCCAAAATCAGTCCACAATCCGGACTGTTATAGTCAAAAATCGTTTTTATTCGAATTTTGTCAAAAATAGCAAAATCCTGAAAATCACTCTAAATTAAAATTTGAAATAAAATAATCAATCTCCAAAAAGTTCAGCCTAAATCGGATTTAAATTGACTTTTTAATTGACAATCGAAATATTACTATAAATAGTAAAAAAATATCTAATTCTATTGATTCGGAGGGGGAAATGATAGAATTTGAGGTTGAAAAAAAGGTTAAATGGAGCGTAGCTCAATGTGAAGAGCGTGCGCATCGAAAAGAGCTTTTCGGATTGCGATCTTATGTGCGATTCTGACACCTGTAGTCAAAGTTATGGTCAAAAGACTGAAACATATTCAAAACGATCCCAATGAGGAACATGTCACAATCAATTCCCGCCTTTGCGCTGATCTGTCAATTCATGATATCTCGGCGCTATTAAGGTGCGATTTGACAGTTCAGCATCATCTGTCTCGGATCCCCTACATCATTAATGCCAAGGAAGAGAAATAGAAACTTAAACCCAAATCTCACCGTGTAATAGTTCAATCCATATTTACACTAAATTCGATTGAGTAATTTTATTTGAAAGTTGTACAGCAGGAAGCTGAAACGAAGAATTCAAAGTGAGGCACCAAGGGTATCGTCGTCGAATGGTGTTGATCATTAGATGGAAAAAAACTTTGTATTGCCATTACTCGACAGACCCTTTTGCTTCAAGAATCTCTCTAACATCAATATCCAAAACTTTGTAACCTAATTAAGCATAATATACATATATGTAAAAGATTGGTACTTCAGTTCTCTCTTTCCTTGATATATGATATGTTATGTTGTATTGGACCCTGATTAAGATGTTTAAAGTGAGAGATCAAGTTGAATCGTTACGAATGGTAATTAAGTCGAACCATTGTGTATTTACTGTGGCAAAGAATTTTGTTGACTTGCGTGATGAAAACGATGCATGATTCATGGCAAAATATGGCAGATTGGGTATTCATACATGGCGATGGGGAGTCAGTTACTCCCCACATCCGGGGCTAGGGTTATATTTTATTTTGGTATAACCATAATATCTGATCTATTGATCGACTAATTCGGATCGGGTACTACAAAGAAAAAAGCAACTCTCTGAACCCAGTTTGCGCCATTTGCAATCACTACGATTCGAACCTCTGACCTTACTTAAGGGATCTAGTGCCTCATCCGATTAGATCAACCGGTTGCTGGTGGGGCTAGGGTTATTGTTATAGTTTAATTGGATTTAATTTACTGGATTTTTATATTTTAAATTTTAAGAAATTTGAGGGTTAATTAAAAGCTTTGAGAATTTTTGAGGTATCTTTTATAATTTATAAAAGTTTAGGGTCAATTCTAAAAACTGTACAAGAATTTAAGAGTTAACCCTACGTAAGCTCATTAAATAATTATTGATATAAATTGCTTCTTCTACCGTTATCTTCGGCTAATTTATAGGATATATATATATATATATTCATTCCAAAATTAATTATCATAATAGCTAAAAAAATTCTTAATTAGATTGATTGTGGGAGAAGATATATGTTACTATCTATTATAATATTGGACTTTAATTTAAATATTAATTATGTCATTAATCGTACAAATCAAATTATTTTAATGATTAAAAGAATAATTATTATTTATAAAATTTCTAAGTTCGAGTACGAGAACAAACTCAAAAAATGAATGATATGATAATTTAATGTTAAGCAAACGTTGAACTCAAAAAATATTTATTCATTTATTTCACATCATAATTTATTTTTTCAAAATTTTAATTTTTAATCCATTTTTTATACATCTTTTGCAACCACTTTAAATAATGAGCAAGTTTCTCTTCTTCCTATAACACTTTGTAGTTTATATTCTCTAAATATTGTTTAAAACTCATAAAATTTTACATAAAACCTATTATTTTTCTGAGTTTAAAAAGTTTTTTTTTGGTATATTTAAGTGTTTGTTTAAAAATTTAAACAATAAAAAATATTTTTCGAGAAAATGAACAATATACTCTAAAATTTTATTGGAAAATCGTCAAAAGAAATCAAGTATTAAAAATTCAAATCTTTAAATAGATTTTTATCAATAATAAATAAGTTTTATAGAATTCGACGAGAATGAAAATGAATAAAATGAGCAACATGTGAAAGACAATAATTGATCAAAAACGAATTTAATGAGTTAAGTCTAAAATTTAATATTATAATTCAACATTTTTAAATTTTAACGAATTTTAAATTTGAAAAAGAGAGGATAAATTACGTGTTTAGTATTTAAACTATCAGTTTTAGTAGATAAAATTTTATTTTTTTAGAATCATGTCAAATATTTAGTTTTTATTAGTATCCCATTAAAAACTTAACATTAACTTTTTAAAAAAATTAAAAGTTTGTGTGCTAAAAATTTTAAAAACTAATTAAAAATTGTTGTCCTTTTTTCTCATATGTATGGGGTAAGGGGAGGTAAGATAGTAGGCTACTCCTAACACCAGGTTAAGAGCAGCTTCCGTAAGAGACCTCCTAATTATGAAATGCCCTCCGTGGGACTCGATCCCACGACCTCAAGATTAAGAACCTTACGTAATAGTTTATATATTAAACGTGTTAAAATTTTAACGATAATATACTAAAATAAAATAAAAATAAAATATTAAATATAGTTTTAAAAAATTAAAAATTTGGATATTAAAATGAACCATACTTAATAAACTCATAGTTTACGCAAAATGATAATTATGGAGGATTGGAATTGATACTGGCTGTTGTCGTACGTGTTTTGAGTTTAACGAACCAAGTGGATGGAAAAGGATGCCTCTTTGGAGTTTGGATAGGAAAGTGCAGGAAATGAGACGTGGCATGAGGGTGTGACGTCATTGATGAACAAAGGAATGATTGCAACTAAGAGGCCATTTATTATTAGTATACTCGCCTAATTTTAGGGGTAAATAATTTAATATCGTTATATATAAAATTTTATATTAAAAAATTTATTTATCAAAATTAAATGTAGGACTTGAGTCTATTTAAAATAATCAAGATTTTTATCTTAGAAGCAGGAGTAAAAAAAAGAATGGTATAATTGGGGAGTTGGGTACACTATTACCATTAGCTTTAACTTGGCTTGCCTTGCTCGAGTGGTTCATCACGTTTTCCATCTTAATCAGAATACATGTGATACGACTTATTCTCTCCCTTGTCCCTCTCTGGATATCGAAACTACATAATTTTCAATGTAATGAATCTACCATCGTTGCATAAGCAAAGAATATTCAGAAAAAAAATGAATAATTAAACATAAATTACAATCCAGTTTAATTATTGCATGTCTATACAAAGAACTCAACCATCTAATCTCATATCCCACGATACGTTTGTCGTCAGGTCGGTTCAATTATCGGCGGCCGCCGGCCGGATACTTGACCAAAAACGGATGCTCCAAAAGCTGAGAGGCAGTCCACCTCTTACTACACTCCTTCTGCAAGCAACACTCCATTAAGTTCCGGAACTCATCGGAAGCACCATGCGGCAAAACAGGCGGTTCGCCGAAGCATATCGAGACCATCAAAGTAGCCCAGTCGGGTTTTTGACCCGCCGGGATATACGGGAAGTGACCCACGAAAAGCTCCATCAAAGTAAGCCCTAAACTCCAGATATCGCCGAGGAATCCATCGTAGTTACCTCCGTTGGCGTCCGGGTCGAACCGTTCCGGACTCATGTAAGCGCAGGTTCCGACGTAGGAATTGCATGCTTCCAGCGTCCGTGACATAATCTTGCTGACTCCGAAATCGGCGATCTTAACTTCCATCTTCGTATTCACCAACAGATTCGAAGGCTTCAGGTCTCGATGAGTTATCTTATGGCTATGCAAGTAACTCAATCCTTTTAGAATCTGCCTCGTTATATGTGCAAGTTCGGGCTCGGACAAAGTGCCCTTGGTACGAAGAAGAGTATCCAGAGTTCCAGCGTCCATATACTCCATCAAAATTGCGACATCCCCGGAAGGATTTTCGTACGTTTCGTAGCAACGAACGACGTGAGGCGAATCAATTTTTCGAAGAATATTCATTTCTCTGTAAACCTGTCGACGTGCCGTCAGGTCTCCGTTGCCATAAACAACTTTCAGTGCGTAAATCTTGGAGGGTCTCTTGTGTTGGACTTTGTATACGGTGCCTCCATTCCCGTGGCCGAGTACTCCGAGTCTCTCGAGTTCCGCTGCTGGGATTGTAACCGAAGAAGCGGCTACAGCATTTGCGGTGGCAGATGGAGGGAGGGGGAGGGGGACGTCCGGAAGAGGAAGGCGGAGGCTGAGGTTAATCTGGCGTCGCTCACGAGCTACTTCCATGTGAAGGAAAAGGTAGGTTTTTTGAGTGAAAAAGTAAATGAAATTCAAGGAGAAGAAGCCTTGAATATACACGTGATAAGAGTCGACTTGAACGAGGAAGGTGAGAGGATAGAGAGAAGAAGTAGACTCCAAGATTTTTAGATTGTACTCAAGTATTTGTTAATTACTTGGAATTTTACGTATTCGTGGGACAGAAGCAGCTAAATTGTGAGCATTTTGTCATATGACTTGATAGTTAAGCATACCGATTTTGTACTCTAAAATTTACACGACTTTTCTTTTTCCTTTTTATTCTATTTCAACTCAAATAAGGTCTGCATGTTTATTATTCAAATAAGGTATTTATACACGAATCAAACGATCTCAATGATAAATAAATTATTGTTATTATTTGAGATCTCAAATTCGAGTACAAAAAATATTAGGGGCGTAAGTGTTCAATATCAAATGATTAAGAGTTATCTTTAAACAGATATTGCATTATACCTACCTAAATAAAGGTCTCCATGTTTAACTTTGTTTATTTAAGCACAATTATAATTAGGGTTTACTTAAAGAAAAGATCAAATTGTCCAAGATATTTTTTATTCTTTTAACTCATTATTATAATTTAATCGAGCATTATATATATAATACGATATAAATCATAAAAACAAATTAATATATTGATCGGCTCCTAAATAGTAATAGTAATAATTTTCACCCAGCATGTGTTTTTTTACTTAAAATTTTTTAAAAAAAATCTTAAAATAATACCATAATATCGATGTGAAATTTTAACTATATTCAGGTTGTGACACGTATTAATAATATTAACATTTTAATCAATTAATAACATATCAATGATTTAATTAATTGTTGAAATGTCATATGGACACTATGTATTAATTTGAGTTTTTTTTTTTAAAATTTTAGTAACAAAATTGTCAAATTATCAACTATCACTTGATTTAGTATCATAAAATATTAAATCTTTTAAACCAAGTTTATAATTTAAATTTTAATATAAAATAAATTAGGAGAATTGTACTTATAATAAATGGTTATATTATTTGATCTAATTAAGTCATCAATAAATTAAATATAAATGATTATAAAAGAATAAATGAATTCAATAATATTTATTGGGGAGGAGATATGATTATAAGAGACACAAACAAAGGCTTTGGTCCTACTTCTCTTCCATTTTTAGTTCATAACTAGCTTTTTAAACAAAAGTAACTGATTTGTTTCAATTACAAATGAATGTATTTTTTTAATCTTTAAAATAAATAAAAATTAGAAAAAAGTAGAGAAAATTATCCATCAAACCAAACCAATATAAAAATGGTTTGCAGGAGGATAAGTCAATGGCTTGTATTCATTCAACATTTATAAATATAAATTATGAAAATTACATTCCAACTTAAAAATATTATAGATTAATAATAAATAAATTTAAACAGAATGTTTCCATAATTTAAACAGAATGGTTGTACCTTCACTTTACTATGCTCTGTCCAGATAGACATACCACCTAACTTTTTATTTATCTTGAATAAAAAAACCCATTAAATTATATTCAAACGATTATACTAATTATTAAAATTTTTGTGAATAATCTCTATATAATATAAAAATATATTTTGCAATCGATATAAAAGCTTTCTTATAAAGCCGAAATACCCCCCAATTCTATTTGAAACTTTCTCCAACCCATTGATTCAACCTTGTCTCCATATTCCAACAACATAGACCCAACAAAACTAAATCAAAAATTATTTTTAAGAGGATTGTTATGATTTTTGGCTGTTATTTCTGTCCCTACAATAGATTTAATTTATTATTTTTGTTCTTATAATTTTTCGCTCTAATTTAACTCTCGATATTATTTAGGGGCATCATCCTAACTCTTGAAAATCGTTGATCGTTTGGACTAATAGAATGGTGAGTCTTTCGCGCATATGGATTAAGAGATTAAGTTAAAATATTTATTAAACATAACGGTTAGAAAAAGTTCCTAATATTTTATAATTTATTAAGTGCGATCGAGAGATTAGGTCAAAATATTGACGATTTTTTTACCCGTTATATTTAGTAAATATTTTATTATTTATTTTTTTAATAAATGTCACGTCACCATCAAGTCACTTCAATAATATTGGGTGACGTAGAAATTGTTGGCATCCACAAAAGCAAAAGATTAACGATTCTATTAGTCAAAATGGACTTCGAGAGCTAAGATGATGTTTCTAAACAATTTCGAGAGTTAAATTAATACAAAAAAAATTATATAGACAAAAATGATTTATTAGATCTACTACAATGACAAAAGTAACCCTTAATTTTTTTCCCTTTTAATAGTGACCGGAACTTAAGAGTTATCATTGAAGTTCAAGCAAAGTTTGAGTTTTTTTAATTATGGATTCAATTATATTTATAATGTATTATGTAAACAATTATCGTCAAATATATAAACCAAAAGAGGTGGAAAGTGTTGGACTCGAGGATCTCTCTACCTTGAATAAATGGTCTATATCGAACCAAACAGGCCTACCGTGTGTCGCCTGGATTATCACAAACATTCTTATATTCAACACACACGGTGTCTTTGGATGATAAAAAGTATTATTTTAATGATAATAAAATCTAAGAATATATTTAAATCTTATTTGTTCTAAAATGATCATTTTTTGCATTCCAATTAGTATAACTGATATATATACGTGCCTTATATCTCAATCTTATGAATATAATAAAAATTGTATTTATTAGATATTATTATTATTATTATTGTTATATGTAATTAAATTTGGAGGTCTTCTAATTCAACGCTTTCTCGTATGATTTGAACACAAAAGTTACGCGCAGCTCTGCTTTGCTTGCTTCAGACTTGAAGCTTCGTCATCGGTTCAGGGTTTGCATCTAGATCATCAACCGGTTTCAATGCGTCAATTTTACGGTCCAAACCGAATTGCACTCTTTTTTATTAGGTAAACTATGCAGACAGCCCTCTATGTTTAGGGTCTGACCAACTTTCGTCACCAATTTAAAAATTAAGGAAAAATGGTCCCTAACATTATCGATCCGTTTGATTTTAGTTCCTCAGTCATTAATTTTTGTTAACCACTTTTGTTTAAGTCCCTAACAAGGCTGAAAGACTAAAATCAAACGGAAGTTAACGGTTGATGGACTAAAATTGAATGGATCGATAACGTTGAGATCATTTCTCCTTAATTTTTAAATTGACGACTAAAGTCGGACAATCTAAAAACATAAAGAAATATCTACATAAGCAAAATCAATCAAGAGGTTTAGCATTCACATTTTTAACGTTAGCGTCAACTCGTGCTTTTGTCACATCTGAATATTGGCATATCAAATCATTTTCATGCAAACACATTGCCTTGTAGCTCTTCACAAAAATTTTGATTACATTAACGGGAATCAGTTAAAGGGATAAGTAAGTCTAATATTCATTCAGTAGAGTTTTTAGTTTGAATTTTTGTGATTGTATAAGATTTTTATTGAGAGATTTATCCATCTAAAGTAATGCACGATCTAGATCTGTCATGATTAAACAAATTATTCCGCTGAAAGTGTTATCTATTAGGGTTTTTTTACAACAAAATAAACCCCCAAAGGAATGAACCCAAGCACATTCAGCTTGGATTTTTAAAGAATAAAGAATTTGAAACGACAAACAAGAAGAAAAATTCAAAAAGATCTCTTGATGTTCTTGAAATCCAGAGAATCAATACACTCCAATCCTGGTCTGTAAGGATTCAACAACTTCAAAAGCTCAGTTGCTTTCTCTTTGGTTTCACCGCTGCACCCAACTTGTATGAGCAACAAAAGCTTTTGAAATGCACCAACTTGGAGAGCTTCCATCAACACTTTTTCTTCATATTTGCTAAGCTTCCATATGGCCGAAACAGAGTACTCGGTTGCCAGTTCCGAAACACGCAACATCTTCTTCACCAGAACCGGCATTGTCAGAGCATCATCGTAAGCAAATTCCCTCCCTCGTTTGGTCTCGCACAGTTTGTCTATAACGCCTAAAGCCCTCTCGCAGTAGCTCTTTTCGGATTCGATTATGGATTCTAATAGTAAAGAAACCAGACCCACTTCCACAAGTTCAGCCTTGGTTTTTTCGTTTGGTGATGAAACCATGTGGTAAATCACCATGAGAGAAGCTTTCGTGATCGAAGGAGAAATTGGGTCTTTAATGAACTTGAATAGGATTCCATTGACTCCATCAATGGCGGCCAAGTGTTCTCCGTATAGCTGGTCGCAAGAAGTAAGCTCTTTCAGGATGTTGATGGAGTTTTGCTTCACTGAAATGTCGTTTGATTTCAAAAACCAGACCATGCAACGCAAAGAAGGCTTTGATCCGAGGAGCAATTGAGCTTCTCGAGCAAGTGGGAACATCCAGTTCATTACATACAATATTTCCTCCAACACATTCGCATTCTTCTCCAAAGAGTCGCTTGCGAATGCGTCGAACGCAGCGGCGAGGACTCCGGCGGCATTGTTCGCAACGATGCATCTCCTGTTTCGCTCGCTTTCGAGACCCCATTTCTTGATTTTATGAACGGAATTCAGACCGTCGCATCGGTCCAATCGTCTCTTCGAATCGGTAACCGAAAACAGAACCTCGGAGACCTCGGCTGAGCTGACGGGGATTCTCGGCGTCTGGATCCTTTCAACGCCATGGCTCCGATTCTCCACACACCAATCTTGGATCATTGTCCTGAGAGAATGATTGGGTATCTGATCGAAACTTGTAAGGAGTTGATTCGTAACGGGGCAGGTGAAATTCCCATCTTCGAGCCATTTGTCGATGCTTTCTCGATCGTAAGTCATCCCAGAAGATATTGTGACCGGATCCTTCATAAGATCAAGAGCTATTGGGCAAATGAAATGCCTTGGGATCTCAAGCTCCATATGATGCACTTTTTTATCTCCATTTCTGGGTTTTCTTTTTCTCCAACTGAAAACCATTGCCACAGGCTATTATATCAGAGCTAACGAATTCAAAGGCAAAGGGCTAACTCGTTCTTGATTTTGTGAAGGATAAAGGGAGCTTCTTGAGGTTTTTATATTGAGCTGAATCTGGGATCTTTTACACGGTGTTCAAAGTCCAGACTTGAACACGAAAGGACGGTTGAAGATTGAGAA